GGACTGACTTGGGATGAACTTGGGACGCTCTGCGGCTAAGCAGCTCGGCAGGTGGGATTGGTGGGAGTCACGTGGCTGACCGTCGGTCTCCCGGTCAATCTTCCGATCCCGGGTTTGCCGGCCATTTTCATGTCATTTTCTACACTTTCTACACCTGGAGGCAACAGTCACTGACTCGGCTGTATGATGCCGATTAGCAATAGGAATTACGTTTATGGTAACTCGAGTGGACTTACTCACAAATTACTCTACTCCTAGTCAACTAGTTATACAATAATTTCCATGTCAGGTTAAAGTGGCTAAATAGATTAGTAGTTGCATAACTTTATACCTGCCAGTCGACGCATATTACATGTTCCACTACCACCCAATGAAGGCTCGTGGAGTTCAGATGAATAAGACATTTAAAGAGGCAATTTGCGTCACATCGTCATTCTACTATTCCGGTGACGGCGAGTGGCTCTTAAGATCACGTGCCTTGTTTGATCTGTTTTGCTTGTTTGTCACGTGACGCCCACTTAATGTAGTCTATGGGGAAGTCTGGGGAAGGAAGAGATCATGACCGAAGGCACATCTCATTGATAATTTATACCACTACAAAGAGCGGGTAGATATGTTGAGATTGCTGGAGATACTATTCTCTACTTTGTAATGGCGATTTTTACACCTTTATTGAGGACCGATTATATATATGTATATATATATATATATGCAAGTTGCAGTTCGTCTGGGATATCAATCTATTTCTTAATACTACTACTACTACTATTAGTACTAGTAAATGACTTTATGATTGTACAGCAGCCCACAGTCCCAGAACCGCCTCCAGGAATTTAGCTAGTTCCCAGTGCAGTAAGTAGGGCAGCGATGCCTGTAATCTTCGAGTCATATCAAGCTATGTTGCCCTCGTATGTTATTTGTTGGATTCATTCATAGACACATACAGACATACATACATACATCAAGACCATACATACACATATTGATTACAATTACAGTAACCGCAACAACTCCAAGTCCTTCGCCACGGCTGGACTATTCTGCGCACAGTCCTCCAAAAACTGCATCATCTCCTGATTCCATTGCTCCCATCCCGCCGGCAAAGTCTCCTGTAACCGTCTGTCCGAGGAGTGAGATATACAGTAGAAGAGGAGGATTTGGCCGAAGAATCTACATATAACCAGGTAAGCACGTAACAACATTATCATACGGGAGGGAAAATGGGAGGATTTGTTAACTTACTGAGAACAAAAAGCGAATTTAATCGGGATACAGCTCTTCATGCGTTGGAAGATGCCACCCACAACAGGCCAATTCATTGCATTGAGCAAACCACTGTGAATCTGCTCGAGATCTTTGTCTGTTAGGGCGCCGGGAGTGTGGAGCGCCTTGTAGAGGTATGGACGTCCGATGTGGAAGTTGGCGATCATATACCGGCCACGAAGCATGGCTTCGGAGACGGCGATCGCGGGGGATAGGGCGTGGCGGTGGGACGGGGTGAAGGGAAGATGTTGCTGGGAGGCTGGAGATGGTGGGATCGGGGTGCTTGGATTCGTGGTCAGGGCAGAGGTGGTGTGGTCGGGAAATTGGAGGGCGGCGGGGAGGTTGATACGCCATTGTTCTAGTTGGTGACGGAGTTCGGCGTTGACTGCTGGGTGGGGGAATGTGCCAGAGTCGGCTGGCAGGAACGGAGTTTTAGTTGGATGAAGATAGCTGGATGAGGGTAGGGTAACTCACAATGAAAGTAGAGCGAGTGTCGGATGCGGGTTAGGATGATTCGATGGGCGACCTGCGCGAGGAAATGATATTGGAAAAACGAATCGTCTATCTCTTCTAATGAGAGTGAGCGAGAAGCTGGAAAGCCCACGCTTTCGAAGGTGATGAACTTGGGAATTGGGACGTATTCTTCGAGTCGGGAGAGACCGCTGGGCGGGACGTGTAATTCTTGGACGAGAATGGTTTCGTTCATTAGGCAGTTCCAATATACTCGAGATTTCATATCGCCTTCCCATTCATCGAAGTGTACATCATGACTGGCTAGTGTCAGTTTTGCGAGGACCATTTATGCGATAATACCCATGGATGGCTTACTTGGTGAGCATGGACAGACAGCAAGTGGCCGCTCGATGGATCATGGCCCACGAATCCATGGGGCGAAGAATTTGACTGTAGTAGATGCTTTACAAAGTTAGCATTCCATCAAAGATATTCCAGCGGAAAGCCTTACAATGACAAGAGGTAGAATTGGCAGCTTTGAAGATTGTTGTCACACATCAGAAATCCAATGCGCTGGCGAGCAGTGTTGAAGAAGCGCAATCCCGGGGGGTTCTCGTAGACCACCCCCATCCAGTCAGGAGGCTCAAAACGACCACTGCGTGTCCCTAGTAATGGGAAATCCCCTTCTTGATAGGCGTGGACAGCGATGCAGCCTAGCGCCATGATATTGAGAACCACACAACTCTCGATGTTGTAGCCAAAGTTGCTCTCAATAGCCGCGCCCAGGGTGAAAGCATAATAATAGTTCTTGTCGATTATAGGGGTAAAAAGGTTAAATGTGGTGAAGTATGCATCCGAAAGGCCTTTGACCATGGCCAACGGAAGTGCGTTCAGCCAGTTGTCCCCGGCCTGCGCTGGGAAAGGGCAGATGTACATGGGCAATTGAGGGCGCTTCATTTCAATGTCAATCACATAGTTTTTGCCCAGTTTCTCGTGTGCTTCAAGTAACCGTTGTGGAAGAATCTCCTGAGCACCTGCCCAGGAGATCACTCCATGCTGGCTGAATGAAATCGAGACTAATCCGTTTGCCTCCGTCGGATTGGGATGCAGGTGTTGGTCGTCATGCTCCACTTCGTTCAGTCTCATTGCCTCTGGCGTCAGAGCCTGAGAGGTCAAGCGTTCCAACCTACCCAAGCTGTTCGTGCTGCGAGAATGATGCGCGAGCGAGCCTATCGTCTCCGTGCCATCCAAACTACGGGGCATCTGACCCCGAAGGGATTGGATTTCCTTAGAAAGGGTCGTGGGAACATTCTCCAACTTGGTTTCCAGTCGATGCAACGTGCTCATTATCAAGCTGAGAGAATGATCTCGTCTACTCTAAGCATTAGCAACAGTGATGAAAGGGACTGGTGAAAGTGACTCGGCCTTACTTGGAGGTCTTGCGCTCATTGTAGACACACTCGAGGTTCAGCGACTTACACAAGCCGCACTTCGGTCGCGATTCATCACATCGCGTCTTTTTAAGCCTGCAATTCTCACATGCCTAACTGGAGTGGTTACTACTACTATCGCGCACATTACTGGCAACGGGGAAGCACCAACCACTGTGGCTATAAAGTTTCGGGGCTTTTTGCTGGGCCCGGATGCATGATGCTGCTGCTCTGAATCCCCGGGCGAGAGGCCCTGAGGGGTGTGATCCACCAGATCGGGGGACTGGGATGCAGGGCGTGGTGGGGACCCTTGATGAGGACGCTTGCTCATGGTTGAGATTGTACGCGATAACGCCCACGGCTCCCTACAATTAGTGGTGGGAATCGCACATTGTGATCCCGACTAGCTCTGCTTCCTGTTCGTGCTGGGAAGGGCTTCGACAGTCCCAATCGGCCGTTAGATTAATCGTTAGATCCGGAATCTCGTAGAATTTCTTCAGCGAAAGACTGGATAGACTCATTTATTATCTCCGATTAGTTATCAGATAGTCCCGGTGACTCAAAATGATGCCCGGAGAAGGTGCCCTTTTCCGGAGTCACCTGACTGGGCCCGTTCTCTTCCTCTTAAGCCTCGGATGTGGAGAATTTAAGACTCCATGGATACTCACGTGACCAACTACAGTCCAAGGAATAAGCAAGACGATAAAGAAACCTACTATGTATGAAATGGCTGGTATTTTCACTGTAGATGTTTTCCTTTCTTTTTCAGTCTTCTAAAGTTTATTTTGATCTTTTTAGTGGATGTACAAGCTTTCTGTGATATTTACGTCATGGTACTCTGTATATCATTTCTGGACTGTGAAACTTGGCCAATCAAGAATGATCTCCGTCTATTATGTGCATACTCTTTGTATTACCGCACATGCTAGTCTACTTCATATTTATATTAAGATACAGTGTTTCTAAATGAATCTCCAATGCGTATGATGCTATTTGACGTAAAGAAGCCATTTCAAACTCAATCGAACTCCATCCTATCCAAGGCTTATTCTTATGCCTGATCGAGCCCCGCTATACTGTAAGATGTTAGCTAATAGCTATGCAGTTGCTTCATCTTGATCATAGAAATGCCACAACTAATTGGCTGACCAGTAGTACATCTTGCTTTTTGCAAGCTTCTTCATTTTGATATTCACTCTTTCTGTTCCCAATGTCCGTATGCGGCCTAGTTAACTGGTTATTTATTTGCTTCAGAACGAACCATCATTCTTTCCGGGTTGCATACTTCGTTACTTGTTCCGCCTTGATAGCGCTGGCCATGACGATAATCCGATTCTTGGGGCAAGTATTCAAAGAATAAGTATCATGTGTTTTAAGTGAGCTAGCTCTTCATTTTATTATCTATGTATTTACTTCTTTTTGTGGTAATCTTATCTTGTATCACGTGAGGAGATGATTTCCTATCAGAGATAAGTAACTAGTCACATGTTTGAACTCATTATTCAGTATCAGCTGCAAGATCATCACGTGCACGAGCTCATTCTGAATCAGCATGTCTCTAAATCGAACCAACCATTATCCATCTCCATTTAGACACAGACTGTTGCATTCAGTAAGTTCCGGGCGCCCGGCCAACCTACTTAAGGGTACGTACCAGACTAGTATTTCGCAGACATATCTACGTCGTATTCCCCAACCCCGGGGAAGTGCCTGTCTCGGACAAATATTTTATCCGTACCGAGCCGAGGTCCGGGGTATGGATTGCCATGCTGGTCGGCCGGATGGAGAGCGTGACCGTCGCAATCAATAATCAGTCGCGAGCTTCCTTTTTTTTCCCTCTAATTCCCCCTCTACTTTTAATCCATGTACGCAAATTTTTAGTAAACTACCCTACTCATAACTGCTTTTCTCTCACCTCTTTCTAAAGTCGCCGCTTCTTGCTTCTTCTGCTACAGCAGACACGACTCCTCCCCGCTCCCTTCTCCCCGCTTCTTATTCTCCCCGCTCATCCGCGCCAGCCACCACCATGACCGCATCTCCGTCCGCCGCTGAATCAATTCCAGAGGAAGTCAGAGTTCCGGAGCCCAAGCCCGTTAACCAGACTATTGCTCAGATCCGCTCGCTTGCTGCTGGTGCTGCCGGTGGTGTGTGCGCCGTTGTTGTTGGACATCCTTTTGATCTGGTGAAGGTGCGCCTTCAGACGGCAGAGAAGGGCGTTTACTCTGGTGCTATTGATGTCGTGAAGAGGACTGTGGCCCGGGAGGGTCTCGCTCGAGTAAGTTATATCGATAGCTAGCGCTGGGCGCAGTTGCTGATCGTCGGAATAGGGTCTTTATGCAGGTGTCTCTGCTCCCCTGGTGGGAGTCACGCCAATGTGTAAGCTTCTCTTCTCTGTCACTCCCATCGCACATACTAACAACTCGCGTGTATTGCAGTCGCTGTCAGTTTCTGGGTATGTCTACGCGTTTACAGAATGTGATCAATCCCCCTTTAGCGCAGACGGCTGACAGCTGGTAGGGTTATGATGTGGGTAAAACGCTCGTCGGCAAGATGTCCGAAGTTCGCGTAGAGAACAACACCCCTCAATACACCATTGGCCAGATTTCCGCTGCGGGTTTCTTCTCTGCCATTCCCATGACCTTGATCACGGCACCCTTCGAGCGCGTCAAGGTGCTCCTTCAGATCCAGGGTCAGAACCCCCCGCCTCCCGGTCAGAAGCCCAAGTACTCTGGCGGTCTGGATGTGGTCCGCCAGCTATACCAGGAGGGTGGTATTCGCAGTGTGTTCCGTGGTAGTGCAATGACCCTCGCTCGTGACGGCCCTGGTTCTGCTGCGTACTTCGCCGCCTACGAGTATATCAAGCGCACTTTGACTCCCAAGGATGCGGAAGGAAATGTCACTGGCCAGTTATCCATGCCTGCCGTCCTGGCTGCCGGTGGTGCTGCTGGTATTGCCATGTGGATCCCTGTCTTCCCTGTCGATACCATCAAGTCTCGTCTGCAGAGCGCGCCTGGTCGTCCCACAATCGGCGGTACGATTCGCACCGTCTATGCCAGCGGTGGCTTCAAGGCTTTCTTCCCTGGATTTGGACCTGCTTTGGCAAGAGCCGTTCCTGCCAATGCTGCTACTTTGTATGTTATTCTACCCTGACATGTTCTAGGGCCGTCGTTGCTAATATATGCCGTAACAGTGCGGGTGTTGAGCTGGCTCATCAGTTCATGACAAAGCTTTTCGACTAGACGGATGCCTTGCGCGCTGCAGGTACGGTGGTGTAAGTCTATCGGTTATTTGATATTGTGGCGTTCGTTATTTCGTCATTCTGTGGAAGCATTTTGCAAGCCTGGATATTCTGTTTTTCATTTAGACTAGACGGTTCCTGGCTGTCTGTAGCGCTAGGAATTTATATTATATCAGTAGAGAACCTGTCGCGGATCTTCCCATGGTAGACTGATAGTAGGCTATTGCCTGTCCAGAACCAGGATCAGCGCTGTTGCTAAATGACTCGTATGATAGAGTATTGCCGGAGATTTTATGTAGGGATAAAAAGTGATTCTAAAGAAAGAGCAAGATAACGGAACAGTGAGGCAATAAAGTACAGGGTCTCTCGAAAAATCACTGAGTCGGCAATTCCGACCGACAATCCACAAAAGCGGAAGGGGCGCGGCCGGTTACTTTGTTGCTACTTGCCAAACCTCCTTGTCACGAATCTACCAGTCCCTCACGCACCAGATTCAGGGAAGGACAACACTGGCCTCTCCTGCCGCCAAAAAATCGAAGCTCTCTTCGCTGGTTGCTGTTGTGGGAGGACTGAGACTAGTGCCCTCAGACGAAACATGAAACTTTTCGTTGTCTAGCGTGGACACGAACATCGCAGATTGACGGCCCTGGTTCCCTTGCCATTGTTTGTGTCCAATCCACTCGACGCCGTCACCGGATCCCTGGATGTTTGCCTTCCGACGAGTCTTTTCGCGTTCGAGGAGCGGAAGGTCGGCCGGCCCTGATTCATTCGACTCGTCCCCACTCCCTGGCAAGGGGAGGGTTCGGTGATGCCATTCACCAAGGAACATGCCGTCGGGGTCCACATCCTGGCGGACCTTTAACCATTCCGTCATATCATCTCCATAGAGAGATTTCAGCTCCTCCCTCGTCGTCCGGAAATTCTTAGCCCAATGCGGTCTTGCACCCATTTCGCGCATAAGCCACTCAAATGCCTCGTAATACCGTTCCGTGCAAGGGGGATCCCGATGGTACGGGCGATAGAGCGTCGCATTGAGATACAGGGTCGGTCCGCTGGAAGAGGTAGGATCGAGGAACGGACGGGTTGTCTTGTTGTAGGTAGAGTCCGCGACTCTGACTTCGATGGGGCAATGCACCCACAGGCCGTCGACGGGGAAAGGGATGCGCGCTGTTTCATGATCGCCATTCAACCAGGCGGAGAGACGAGTGATGGCTTCGGGGCCCTTCTCGAGCGGGAGTGCCCATTCATTGACAAACTGCGAGTACAGACAATTCATTAGGAGACCTGAGCGGGCTGGTTCAACCGCCTCTGTCACGACGGCTTCCGCTTTGAAACCATACTGCAGACCAAAGACCAGCCATTCTACCCACGGGAGGATACGAGGGAAATAGTTGGCCAGGGCCAGCAAATTGTGGTAGATGTGGTAACCGAGTGTTTCTCCATAAAAGGACTTGGGCGGTTCCCGCAGCGGCAGGTCGGTCTTGTCGGCGTGCCAGACAACCGCACTCTTCTCATAGGGCATCCACCATACTCGAACAAATTCATGCGAAGTCCACAGTCCGGATGACCATTGGGCCAACACACTCGACAGTCTACGCCGCGTCTGTCGCCAGGCCACCTTGAACGCGGGCTCCGCCTGCAGCGTGACCTCGACAATGATACCAAGTGCACCCAGAGAGATCAGCGCAGCCCGGAAGAGCGACGGGTTATTGGTCGCGCTACACCGCACCAGCTGCCCATTAGCCAGCATGAGAGTCAGTGATTGGATACACTCGGAGATCAAGCCATGCTGGAGAGAACTTCCATGGGTACCCGTGGAAATCACGCCGGCGACCGACTGTTCATCAATGCTACCCAAGTTAGACAACATCAAGCCATGTTTCTCCAGCTGTGCGCCCAAGTCTCTCAACCGAATTCCTGCCTGAACCGTCACCACCCCGGTCTCCGGCGAAACCTCCAACACGCGATTAAAATCATCCAAGTTTATCAGCCAGGCAGAGGTGCAGGTCAAATCGGAGGGAGAGTGGCCACTCCCCACGGTGACGAGACGACGCCGGCAATGGCGAGCGAGGTTGACGAGCTTCCGAATTTCCTCGATAGATTGCGGGCGTACGTAAAGTTCGGGACGCGAGTAGAAGGTCTGCGCCCACGTATGATGGAGATGATGGGTGGTTGCGCGAAAAGGAACCGCAGGGTCGATACGGGAGGCCTCACGCAGGATGGCGGGGTCCATGATGGAGGGGGGATCCCGTCGCTGCACGAATGATTATCTGCACGATATGCGATATGACAGGTCGGATCAGCGGTTAGAGGGGCAGAATTCTCCGTATGGTTGGAATTTTAGTTTTGAGAAACGATAAGGGGAAGAGGGACGATCGGGTATACGATCAATCACGGCATGATGAAGGAAAGGGGAGATGCACGAGATGCCAGCAGGGAATCGTCAGTAGCAACAGTTAGTGAGAGTAGTAGTAGTAGTAGTTTAAGTGGATTATTAGCAATTTACCTTCCAGCAAAGCGGCGAAGTTTGGCGGTGAACCGGAACCAAACGGCAGATTCTGGCCTGAGGCGATCATAAGGCAGCAGGATGCGGGACCGGGTCGGGACGGTGGATTATCCGGCGGGACTGCATACCCTATCTAGTATCTTATAGTACATAATAGGGTGCATGGGCAGACCTATATGGCTATGGCCAAGAGATAATCTTACACACTTGCCTACGTGGGAGGTCTGAGGCTTACCCTTTCTTTTCTTCCTCAATCATCACCCAAACGAGCACATGCGCTAGTAGTAGTATGGGCTTCCCCAACTACTAAGTAAGTAGTCAATAGTAACCCTTCCCAACTCGCTTGCACCAATCGATTCAAGTCCCCTTTTCCAAAAGACTTCCCCCTCACGCTCGAAGAGGTGCACCAAATCGAGATCCAGAGAGGCCCCTCTTGAATGATTGAAATCTATGTATGTGTTGTACATAAATAAGTAAATATATACATATACTACTTCTACTCCCCCACCGGTCATATAGAATACCACTCAAACTTTTCAAAATCCTCCCGCACAGTCTCCCCTTCCGGCACACTCTCAACCCCAGCACGTACTGCACCTTCCTGGAAATCCGCTGCCCAGGCCTTATCCCAAACTGCAGGCTCACTCAGAGTACTTCCCGGCTTTAGGGTGCCGAATTTGAAATCCAAGTGTTCCCCCGCATCGGAAGGCAGGCGCATGAAATAGCGCACACTGGGAGGAATCTCCTCCTTCACATGAGAAATCATGACCAAGGCTTGATCGTCCGTGAGGCCACGGAAGCGAGCATCCTCGGGTGCCGGGTGGACTTTGGTCACCCGCTTAGTGACGAACTCGCCGTGGTCGATGAAGTTGAGACACTTGTCCCGGATGGAGGCAGGCATGCCGGAGAAGGCTTCGTCTAGGATGACGATATCGGGCCGGTGGACGAGAGCGCGGAGAAAGAGGACCAAGCGCTGCTGAGCGGTGCTCAATTCAGCGAAGCGAACGGTATCGGCGTACTCGACTCCGTGGTCGGGGTTGTAGAAGTCGGTGTCGGATTTGACGAGGGTGGGGAAGAGATCGCGGGGAGTGGTGACTTTGGTGGGTTTTTGGGAGATGCTGGAGACATCGGGGTCGAGTTCAGTGCGGAAGAAGCGGAGGATGGCGCTGACGTCTAGGTCACGGTCATGGTTAAGGGTGGGTTTGGCGAGGAAGGTTTCCGCGAAAGCGGATTCAATGGCTTGGCGGATGGTCAGTTGACGGGGGAAGAAGGCGTGGATCTCAGGAGATGAGTGGCCGAGGCGGGATTGGAGTTCGAAGATCGAGAGGCCTGGTTTCCCGGCTTCGGGGAGTCGGGTGCGGCCGAAGAGGCGGATAGGAAGAGCGTAGGTTTGGGGATGGTCCGAGGTGATGAGAGAGAGAAGAGTGGTTTTGCCGGAGCCGTTGGCACCTAGCACGGCCCAACGCTGGCCGCGCCGGACTGTCCAGTGCAGGCCAGCTTGTGGTTTGTTGTGTACGTGCTGGGTCCAGTCGCCCAGGACGCATTTGTCACCGTATTGTACACGGACGCCGTCCATTTCAATCAGTGGTTCACCGCCCTTGATAGGGAAGGATGGGGCAGCGCGACCCTTTCCTTGTGGGGGAGCTAGCCGCATGTCCCATATCAACTGGCGATCAAGGTAGCCTGCATCGATGGATTCCTTGGCCTGTTCGTACGTCTGGTGGACCCACTGGTTTTCCTTGGCGGTAGGCTTCTCATAACTGCCTAGTTTCTTCCATACGTTGAACACCTTCTCCGCCTCCGCGCGGGGAGCTTGGAGCAGAACCCGGTGGGAGTTCCCCAGCACCATAATATGCGTGATCCAGTCGGGCAGGGGGTCTTGAGGCCGGAGCGCGAGAACCAATCGGGGATCCGATTTGGCCGCCAGGCGCTGGAGGAGGCTTGAGATGCTTCTAACAGTAGCGGGATCAAGGCCCATGAACGGATCATCAAGGAGGAGCAATTCCGGCTTGCTAAGGAGGGCCTTGGCAATCCGAGTCCGTCTAGTCTGACCATTGCTCAAGTTGGCAACCGGCATATCAAGTAATTCCTCTAGCCGGAGCTCGGAAACGATCTGTGCCAGCAACTGCTCATCGTGTATCTTTCCGTCTTGCTCGGATTCCAACGGGTTCAGGGAAGTCTGGCCTTTGAGATATTGGCGGACTGACCAGTCGGTTTCCTCGCGGAGACTCTCATATCGGGCACTCAGATAGGCGCCGCGAGTGCCTCCAATGGCGCCGGAACCTTCCCCACTGAATCCGATATATTGTATTGCGTTGCCCGCAAACCGTAGGCGGTGATCTTTTTGGGCGATCTCGTCGCTGAGGAGGTATGGATAGCTGCGCGCCGTGGGCGGTGTGCAAATGTATTGACCACGGAGGACATCGAGCATCTGCGTTCTTCCCCCGGAGCCAATCACCGCCCAAGTCTGCGGAGCATCACCACCGTTGTCCTCGGCGAGGGTGGATTTGGCGGGTAGAACGAAGTTGAGGTCGGGAAAGAGGGGAGGATTGCGGCCTTTTGCGGCATCTTCGGGAGTAGGATAGTTCTCGTAGAATGTGGCATTCTGGATCCGAATTAACGGCGGCGCAACGGATGAGACGGAGCGCGTGGCGCGAAGGAGCGTCGAAGACCGCAGTG